TTGTAATAATTCTTGGCTTTTTTAGGAAAACACAGTTTTTTTTTATGAACAATAACGTGTGAAAATATTTGTTAATATATTATGAATATAGTATAGAGTACATATAGACATGATTAAGGTATCGGGTGGTGGGTTTACAAGGTAATATAGGAAAACAGGTGGAAATTAAGCATACAAACTATTTTCTATAGTTCTCAATGAAATGCTTCTTGGTGGCCTCTCGACTGGTCTTGCCGTTGGGCTGGCGCTTGATGTCGTCGACAATAAGGGCGCCCGCATGCAGCTGCAGGTAATTGGTGCTGACATGATCTTTGACATACTTGACCACATCCTCGGCTGTGATGTTAGCGCCTCGCTTGGGCACCACCGAGGCAGCGGCCTCCTCCATGTTTTCGTCGCTGTGAATGCCAAAGACACAGACCTCGGCCACGCCGGGCATTTGGGTAATCACATCCTCGATATCGCTGGGATAGTACATGATGTTCTGGAACTTGAGCATGTCCTTAATGCGGCCCGAAATGTACAGGAAGCCATCGTTGTCAACATAGCCGGAGTCGCCGGTGTGGAACCAGCCATCCCTATCGCGCACCATGCGCGACTCGGTTGGATTCCTGTAGTAGCCGGGCCAGTACTGGCACGGATTGATGCAGATCTCGCCGGTTTGATTCGGTTCGAGTGCCTCGCCGTTCTCGTTGACGATCTTCAGCTTCTGTCCGGGCAAGATGCGACCCACCGAATTGGGCTTCTCATCGTAGTGCTTGTTCAGCGTGCAGTTCGTGGAGCCCAGCTCCGAGAAGCCATAGGCGAACTGCAGCACGCCCTTATTCACACGCTTGCGAATGCGCTGCTGCACCTCCAGGGAGCAGCACATGCCGCCATACAGCAAATGCTTCAGACTATCAATCTTGATCTTCTCAAAGTCGGGACTGTTCGCCAGCATGGCCATATGAGAGGGCGCAATCAGCAGCCATGTGATCTTGTACTTCTCGATGAGGTTCAACACCAGCGTCGGATCGAAATTCTCGGCGGATATAATGCGCAAGGTGCTGTGCACACCGCTCGATATGACCGCAGTGAAGCCAGTCACCCAGTCCAGAGTGCTGTGGCAGTACTGAACATCAGCGGTGGTCAGATATCTAGGAGAGAGAGAGAGAGAGAGAGAGAGAGAGAGAGAGAGAGAGAGAAGGAATCATCATTAATATATATGCATAACTAAATTATTAAAGCGATTGCCACTCACTTGGTGGTGCTGAAGAACTTGTGTGCTGAGGCATTGGTGACGGCCTTGGGCACGCCGGTGGTGCCCGAGGAGCAGAGAATGCCCAGCGTCTGGTTGTTGCCCTGCTCCAGGCGCAAGGGTGCAAAATCAGCTGGGATGGGCGTTGCGATGACATCGTCGATTTTGATGGAGCCCTCCTTGTGATTGCGCATGGTAATGATCTTGACATCCAGCTTGGTCGTTGCTGCCTTCACCTTGTCGTACTCATCACCATCGCAGAAGATGAGCTTGGGCTGGGTGATCTCGAACAGCTTCTCAATGGTCTGCTCCATGTAGTTCACATTCAGCGGGTGGAAGGCGATGCCATTGAAGAGGCAAGCGTAGACCACAGCGGACATATGCGTAGTGTTCCTGGCAATAATGCCCACAATGTCCGATTGATACATGCCCAGGTTGCGCATATAGGTGGCAATGCTCTGCGAGTTCAAGAACAGCTCGCCGCGGGTCAGCGTGGTATTTTCCGAGGCAGAGATCTTCAAGGATATCACAGATGTTATATATAAAGAAATCCTAGCATTTACATTCACTTTCACCCTACCTGTGCGATCAGCTGTGTATGACGTTGCATTTCCCAGAACGTGATCTCGCCCACGGACAGATCGGGGGAGAAGTAGGGCGCCTCATACGAACCACTCCAGACCTTCTGGTCCGGTTCATAGTAAATCTCTGGCTTGAAAGGCATACTGCAGACTACGAGTTGACTTAAGCGAATGCTGAAGATTAAAAATTTGCGGCTTGTTTTATATGATGGTCGCTGTCGTCGATATAACGTGGGCGGGCCATTGAATATCAGTTCGACCGGAGATTACGCCCGCTGCTAATCAAAAGTACTTGATTTACTGATTGGCCCAATCATAGAAGGCTCTGATTTTTTTAATTAATGCAAAGTTTAAAGTCCACTAGTGAGACTCATGCCGAGGTACACATTATCAAAGTATCCCACAGGAAACTGACATCAGCCGCCGCGACCACTGACTGGCCAGACCTACAACACGTGAGGCTTGGACCTTAGACAAGAACGTACGAGCAATGCGTGAATCTCGGCGTACCAGAGAAACGGATATGTTAGCTGATAGGAAGTTTATCAATTTGATGCTAAAATTTGTTTAGACCAACAATTGTTGTTGGGCAGGGTAATCATATCTATATATGCACTTGAAAGCACTAAAAATACATTCTATTCTTCGAGCAGGAAATATTGATTATTATTGTTTTGTCATCCTGTTGACGCRGAAGAAGAAGAAGCACCCACAGAGGTGTGTACCCTAGAAATGATAACTGACTTTAGCATAGCAGCCCATAACAACATTTTCATTGTATATATTAAACATTTGAATTTAGAATTTTCATTATTCTGCTATCACTGCAGAACAGTATTTGTGATAAGATTATTTAGTGTTCGAATCTGAAGACACCAAAGAGTTTGTTACACGCCGTCTGTTTAGTTCTAATCGTTCAGCGGATGCTATAAGAAAGTACAATTTCATAGAAATAAATAATAATATTTAAAGAAAAAATAAAACAATAATTAATATTCAACATTTTT